TCACATGGAAAGGAATTCATCATATGATCGATTTTTACATGGGTTATTATGGAGGAAAGTTGTTTTCTGACTACTTGTTGTTTTATTAATTCCTAATCCATATTTACTTTGTGTCAAATTACTTACAATCAATTTTCTGGTGACAAATTATTCATGATTTTTACAAACTCTTATTTGATTCAAATTAGTTTTCTATGGTATATTGGTGTTTGAACACAATTCCTCGTGGGAACGATCTTTACTCGTCATTTTATTACTTGTACGACTAGTGCACTTGCTAAACGTCCAACAGTTACTCTCAAAGGAATCATACAAATATAGTCAAAAGATATTACACTCTATGCTAAATAAATTATCTAAGACAAAAAAGCTAATAGCTTTGACAGATTTTCCATGAGTGACTAAATCCAGGTTTCTATTCTAACCTGTGAAAATTACTTTCTCAAGTAACACAAGACACATCAAAAAGTTACATGCACTCCAAAATGCAAAACATATACCAGTAGTGTAACTCTTGTTACAAAAATATACATGCTTCAGCTTTTGGAATAAATGACAACACACTTTAGCCAAATAATTCAAACACTGATTATTAAAATGCAGTATCACTCGTTGTATTCAAAAATCAAGCTTCCCTTATTATAGACGCTGGGTTACATTGCTCAGTTACATTGGGCCATTAAAATAATAATGCTAATATATAATTGTCAACCTAATGATATCTAACAGTTACATAATTTAATAATATATACATCAAATAAAACAAACGATGAATTTCAAACGGTTATGAATTTCAAATCGAATGGTAGCGGAACAATCCCCTCCCATTAGAGTACGAAGGGACGAAATGCTCAACTTGCTGAGAAGAAAATAAAAAATCCTTACACCTTAATGCCTTGATGAATATGTTCACCAGCTGCATAGTTGATCAAATGTATGCGGTAGAAACGCAAGAAAGGACTTCAGCAATAAGAGCTCAGAAGTAATGGCTGTCATGGAGCGATATTCAGCATCAACATAAAAGCGAGAAAATGTTGCCTACTTTTTTAGTCTTCTAGGAGAAAAGAGATTAACCAAGCATGACAAAATATCCTATAAGGGATAGCTGCGTAAGTGGGCAGCTGGTCTAGTCCAGTCACAATAGGCACACAACTGTATGTTCTTTTCTAATGGGAACAAGATACCTTGGCTTGAATTAGACTTTATATAACGCAAAATGTGCATGACTGCATTAGTTGTTTAGGAGCCTACATAAATTAAAATAAAGTATGAACTGCATGGCACAACTCAGGTTGCATAATTGAGAGATATACCAAGCGACGATAACACGCCAGATTTTCCAAATCACTCCATTAGACTTTTCGTAGGCTTGCATCCCATCATACCTAGATGTGGCTATTCAGGTCAATATGAATTTGAAACGAACATGAATACTATAACACCCTATTATCAGAATGGTATTAAGCATAGCACATTTATTTACTAAATGCAAAAGCTTATCTTATTGATTCACAATTGGACTTATATCAAAATATGAATAAACTTTTGCATTTTATAATCTATAGAAATTTACCAGTTCTTTTGTATCCAATTCAACAATGTAATGATTTCTGACACCTCACGTCCTTTTTAAATATAAAACTGACGATATTTTGTTTGTAATTCGGACATCTAGGGATAATTCCCATTGTCGTATTATCACCTAAATGACAGTATATCCAATTTCTACAATCTAGAATCCTTCCATGGAATTTATCTTAATGGCTCCATGCCAATGATTTCATCAAATAATCAATTTATCATAATTTAACTTCCAACAATAACATGGAAGGATAAATACAAAATAACCTCGTAGATTTATCCTTGACGTACATTATGAATAAATGAAGGCTTACATATAGTCCTTATACATGTGTCTCCAAATGAAAAATACAAATCTTATACAAATATATATATATATATATATAAATATATATAAACACTTCCTATGCTCTCCAAATTATACGATCATGTTATATACATCAAAGGGTGATCAAAATACAATATCCCTTATGTGTTTATCCAAAATGACTAACCAACACGCAACATACATCATTCCCTGCACAAGCCTCTTGCCCAGGGAAGGTCCAACTCCAACATCCCAAGTACCTATACCTGAAAAGAGGACCCAAAAACGCGGTGTAAGATAAACATCTCAGTAAACTAGGGGCTCTTGGTGGATTCCTCCACCCCTCGAAAGTTTGGAGAATAGAGTTCATTTTCGTCTTTGATTGATGCCTTGGTTTGAAGTGCTTGCTCGAGTGACTCCTCTTTCTTCTTCTTTTTACGTTGTTCGTGTGCCTCGAGAGAACCAGCGAGCTCGTCGACCGTGAGCATTGCTAGGTCCTTTGACTTTTCTATGGCACATACGATATTCTCGAAACTATCGGTTAATGTAAAAACCCGTACCATTAAATTAGGAATTTAAATAAATTAAATATGAGTTTGAGAAAATAATTCCATAATAGACTTAAATAATTAATATAAGGGTTTAATAACGCTGAAAGTCGCTTTTCTGATGAAAAGTGCAGATAGCGGTTCTGCTTCCCGATATAAGTGTGTACCGCTGAAGTATCCCAAAAAATTACCTAGATATTATCCCAGTGCTACCCGAATAAGGATATCCCCTAGAGGAATATCCGGATATTCTGGAAAATTCGTAGTTTGAGTTATTCTGTCCAAACAAAAGCGTGGTTTAGGTTTTTGAACCCTATTTTGGCTAGTATGAACCTCTGTAATGATCTAACTAAGTCAGAACCTGAGATATTGAAGGTTTATGGCTTTGAGAGAAGCTTACGGCCATTAAACGATAAAGGAAATATTGTCCTAATGCAATGAAATGCTAGACTATGGATATTGATGATGTGAATGTTATGAAAACAAATCATTGACTTTGCTGGACTTTGTTATTGCGTGTGACCCTTTGGACACCGAGTTGTGAGGGAGGAGTTAGCTTGACAGGTAAGCTTATGTTCCTCGGATTGATTTGTTGCTTGTTCCGCCGACCTCCATAGGAAGATGGTTTATGTGCATGATATGCTTTTATGAAAATGATATATGCCTTGATATATGTCTGAAATATGTGGATATGCCTGTTGATTACTTACACGATCAGGCTGGGACTCTGGTGTTTAAGGTATAAGGCTACGACCCTTATGTTTAATGTAATGTATAGATGTGATGTTGACTACTTATACGATCAGGCTGCAACCCTGGTGTGTAAGGCATAAGGCTACGACCCTTATGTTAGGTAGGTCGTAGACGTGTGTAATTCCTATCTTGTTTTCTGGCCAATTGTACCGCACTTACATACATCACATGAGCTATAAACTTGAACATGCATCATATTTCACGTTTTAAACTTATTATATACTTGCAAGTGAGCTTGGGGCGGAAGAGTCCTTGAGGACCCTTGTCTTATTGAGATTTCTTTTTAGATATCTCACCCTGTGTGGGGCACATTTTCAGGTACAGGTACCTCTATGGTTGAGACTTCTGGCGGCAGGAGGCCATAGTTGAGCTGATATTATGCATGCTGCTTTACTGTCATAGCTGGACATGATTATGCTTTGTTATCGCTATATGGCTATATGACTTAAGACTTGATTTAGATATGTGTTTTATTTGGTGAGCATGGGGGTTGTCTATGCCACATTGGTATAAGCTATGTTTATTTCTGGCTTGCGTTGTATCCTTGTATCAGGATACTGTCTGGTCTACATGTTGTAGTTCCATGACTTGATACACTATTTATATTATGAGGTTATTCAGTGTAGTTGTTTATTGTAATTTATATACAGACGATATTTTGAAATGAAATATTTAAGTCCACTTGGTTCATAATGAATAGTTTTATCATTGGTCAGATCACTGCTGGATAAAGATTGGAGGGTTGAAATTTGTCATGTATATAAAGAAGGTAATCAAGTGGCAGATTGGATGGCTTCAAGTGTTAGCCACGCTGTTTGGGATACCCAGTGGCACGATAGAATTCCTACTGGATGTGAAAAGCTAGTCTTAGATGATAGGAGGGGCACCTTGGTGCCCAGAAACAATCTGTGTAGTTTTCTTTTCTTTCCTTTGTATACCAAAAAAAAAAATTGTTTCATAATTTGAAAAAGTTAGCTTCCGCATTTATTGAGCTGCGCTATTACCATTTATATGTTTAATACACCGGGTGCACACATGGTGTTACAGTTCCCTCTGTTATAATCCTTATTTGTGCAAGTTGTATATATTTCATATTTTTTTTTCAAATTATCTTTTTTATTATTTGTTGTACCTTGCGATAAATTAATGAATTATAAAGGAAGGAACAAATTAGAAAAAAAATTGCGTTGATTTAACCATAGAAAAGTTATGAATATTTTAAATATATTTTGAAAATAACAAGACCGAATCCATTGTTTTTTTAGTAAAAAGAAATAGCAAAAGCCCTTACTTCAACACACCCCTTTAATTTCTTTTTGTTTCTTTAAATTTTCAATTTTACTTGTGAATTATTATTATTATTAACAAATGCTAACAATTTAAATTTATTAATATTTTGTAACAATTAATCTACAAAATGATAATATTACTAGTGTTTAGAAGAAAAAAATTGAAAGTTGTCTACTGTTTCTCTTAGTTTAATAATTAAAAATCAATGTGAATCGATATTTTTATAATCAATCAATAATTTTTTGTTTTGATACTTTCACAATATACAAGTGCTCAACTCGTATAATTTAATTTTGTATTTTCCCATATTTTAAATAAAAATTATTTAAGATATAAATTATACTTAAATAGATAAAATAAAGAAGAAAAAAAGAAAATTTATAAAACAAAATAAGATCGTTACATAACCAGCTGGTCCAGCTTCTATATATATTGGACCTTCGTCATGTGCTTCACTCACAACTAACAGAGAAACCTTAAAGCTTTCAAGAAACCTAACCCCAACTGTGTTATTGTCAACAATGGCATACGACAACAACGTTGATCTCTGTACTCATTTATCACTTGCTAGGTGTCCTTGTAATACAATGGTGTGTACCCATTTGTCACTTGGTAAGTGTCATTGCAACACAACCAATGAAGATGTCTTTGTTTCTTTAACCAAGAAGAGGAAGATTTCTGAAGAAACCTCTGTTGCTGCAAGAAAGAAGGTTTGTGGAGAGAGAAGTTGGGGTTACTCAACCGATTTGATGTTTTGTGATGATCCCTGGAAGATCAAGAAAGTCCTCATTTGCAGTGATCTTGGCAACATGAGCAGGCTCTTGCTCCCTAAAGATTTGGCTGAGAATTTGGTGGTTCCGGTGTTGGATGGTGATGTTGAAAAAGGTGTTCAAGTTGAGATTTGGGATGTGGACACTGCCTCCATTCATTCTTTAGTTTTCAAGAAATGGGTTTCTTCAAGAAGCTATGTTTTCATTGGGAATTGGGTTAAAGATTTTGTATCAAGAAGAGGCTTAAAGAAAGGGGATGAGATAGGCCTTCATTGGGATCCATACAATAATCGCTTTGATTTCTCTGTTCTTGATGCCATTTAGCATTGATAGCAATAATAGGATTCCTTTTGTAGAGAGGGTGTACTGATATTTTCTCTTGTTCTTATTGGTTTGTGCAATTTGAATTTTTTGGATTGTAAGAGCAATCTGAATATATGGTTTAAATTTGTTAAATGTTATGGTTTGCAAATTTGAATTACAATTAGAATTGCTCCCATAAGAAAGTTAATCAAATAACAGAATCACTGCGTACTAAGAAATATGTTTTGAATTTTATGTAGAACTGGTTGCGTACATAAAATTACAAATAGCAATAACAGAATCGTCGCTATGTTGATTTTGTAGAACTGGTTGCTGACTTATGCCCTGAATATAATGTGGTTAGGTGTGTATTCTACACAATTACATGTAGCAATTGAACAACTAGTACTTTTTCTGATAAATTAATACATGGTGTGAAAATAAAAAAATATTTGATTTACATCCTTATGCAATTACAAAATTTCGATTTATCAAAGTATCAATATTAATTATTATTTTTATCGTTTGCTTACAGGGTGTCAAAAGATAACCAACCTGAGTTGTTAAGAGCAAAGGATGCATCCAAGAATCTGATTGATTTAGGACTAGAGTTCACTCCTGCTGAACAAATTATCAAAGAGTCAGTGGAGAGTTTGAAGAGCAGGGGTTATATCTAATTTCTCAGATGCTGCAGAAACCTATGGGGATTGAATGCGCTGTTATAATTGGTGTTGGTGTTTAACATTCTTCTATCATTAATTTGAGTCATTGTTCATGCGATTTCTGTTTTTTATTTTTATCTTTTTACTTTCACTTGTGTTCGTATAACTACTGAGTGAAATGAGGGTGAACTTGCATCCAGTCACTGTAAGCTGTAACTACCAACATTTGACTGGAGTTCTTACGTATGAACTCTTAAGGTTATCAAAGATTGAGTGGTTTCACCTTCACAACTCAATTTGCTCATCAAAAGCATCTCCTTTAATTCCATTTATTACTATTTTTCACTTTGTATCCACTAATAAATATTGCCAAGTATCATAATTGCATTAGCTCAGCAAATAGTAATAAGGGTCACTTCTTAAACCACAATAGGATGACACATTTGTATCCAATTTTCACACACAAATCGGTGGTTTAAAATTAAAAAAATACTTATTCCTCACACTGACTTCTTTAAAATTAAAAAAAAAAAATTCAAACTAGTCTCAGTTCCTTTGTTTTTCTCTATTACAAGTTTATCTCCATTATTTATCCTTAGTAGTTAGTAAGAACAAACAAAAGTAAAAATAAACACTATATGCTTCCTAAAGACCTAAACAGAAAATAGTAAATATGAGCACCAAGAGATGGCTATTCTCTGTGCAAACATCAAGAATCATGTTCATGGCTTTGTAGCCTCTCAGCAATTTGACTCATGCTAGGCCTCACGTTTCTGTGATCCGTAATAACAACAACCAGTTCTCACATTCAAATAGAATTTTATGTAAGTATGATGCTATTGTAAATGTTTTTACAACTATAACTTATCAACGTCAAATGAGTGTTGTCATCTATGACAACTCTCTTGAGGCTGTAGAGGCTGTTAGTTTTGCTATATTCTAATGGAACACTATATATAGATGACTTCATGGTCTAACTGCATTGATTGTATAACATATCCTGTAGAACTGTATATAATAGGAACAACTACTTGATAAGCATACCTAAATTTTCCTGGCTAATTTTTTGTTTTTTGTTTTTATGTTTATAATGATGACTCTGAGATTTGAATTCATAACCCCGTAGAAAAGTATCCAAGCCCCTCACCAATAGTACACTCTAAGTGGTTTCCCAACTTACACTTACAACATTTATTTATTTTTGGATACAATGGAACCTAATACAAACTATTCAAACCAATTCTAGTGGCTTTGACATTTAATTTTAAGTTGGGATAGTTATACTGTATCTTTTCTATCCAATTAATGAAGGTAAACGGAAAGCCAGCGCAGACAATCTAATGCAGCAGCAGCAACAGCAACAACAACCTCCCCCGAAGAAAATTGCAACAGATGGTTCTTGAGTTGTGGTACCAATAAATCCAATGTTTAAATGCAAGGGTCAACAGGTGAATTTTCCACTATGATGGGGGTTTCGAATGTAGGCATGTCATCAATGAAGTCGTCAATTAAACAATGACAACATGCCAGGGAAGGTTGGATGTTAGCAATGGAAGGCATCTACCATTCTTGCTTAAGCTTGGAAGGATGACATGTGTACAAACCCCAATTTTGTCTATATCAAAAATGGCAAAAAACAATAGTAATTAAATAATAAAAACAGAAAAACAAATAATAATAACAAAAGAATGATGATAATAAGACACAGTGAAGCAGGATAAAAGCCATGATTCAGAGTTAGACTTTATAGAGTCAAACAAAAATCTTTCTCTGCTATTCAAAGAATGATGAACACCAAAATGGAAAAGCACCCCTCATATTAGTGACATCTTGTATCCCCTATACCCTGCCAAGCTTAGGCATGATGTCAGATGAGAAAAAAAAGGAGAGGCTAGCATGGAAATGGGGAGAAGTTTGGTACTATGGTTATGAAGGGAAAACAACAAGGTAGGGAAGCAGAAAGCATAACGCAATGAAGCTGGATGAGGTTGAACTGCTTTTTTTGAATTTTTGAGCTTGAAGGAGGTAAGAACCTCCCTTGTTCCTCATCTAGAACCTTGACTGCTTGCCTTGATATTTTGTTTATCTAATGTAGAAGGCTCTGATGTTAGTGAACTTAAAGAGTAACACTTTGAGTGAATACTCATTAAGCACACACATCCTTATGTTATGTTTTGTCCTATTTATCATACATCACTAAAAGGGTAAGGTATGCTAAAAAAACCCATCACATAAGATTAAAGTGAAAAGCAGTTATGAAGATGTTAGTCACTCACCACCAAAAATTGAAAATTTCGAGCTCTTCAAGTTAATCGCTACTATAATATTTGAAAAGTACGATATTAAGATTATCAAAACAAAATTTCTCTCTAGTCAAAAAGCCAACTTACACAGTTAAGTTTTTATAATCTTTTATAGTTTAAATAAATTTGCTAGTTTATTCCTTTCAACTATTTCACCTTAAAGAATTAGTTTGCATTGATTGATAATTTCGATTTTTAGCTTTTGATTGGTAATGTAATTTTTATAAAAAAATAAAAAATAAAGAAAAGAAAAAAAATGCAAGAAGTGCAAAAAATTTCTGGAAGCTCCACAACCACAAGTATACATTCTGCTCTGTTTCCACTGCAAATCCGATTTCTTCAATGGAAATGAATTTGAACATAAAAATTGAACTCGAATTTCAACTTCCCCTAAAACCCTAAATCCCCAATTGTTCTCCCCTTTTCCCATTTAACAAACCCTAAAGCCCAGAACGTCAAAATGGCAACCAAGGTTAGGATTTTTAAATAGGATAGGAGAAGGTGAGTCACGATGAAATGTTAGCCATTAGATATATAAAATGATTTAAGTGCCAAGGAGGATATATCAAGTGTCCTACACGAGAGGGGTTGCATGTGTCACTATCTATGTGTCTTAATTTTATACAACTATATTGATCTGCTTGTTCAATCCTTTAAAAAATAAAAATAAAAAACTTCAAATGTTTCAGTTTTGTCCGATAAGATATACTCTTTCAGGGAAATTAGAAATAAAGGAGACTTATATATCATTAAGCAGGTGGGGGTGAGAGCATGTGTTCGAATCTCCCCAGTACCACCTTTGAAAGGGATTTAAAACCTTAATCCTGGACCCGCCCCGAATCGGATTAGTTGCGAAGCAATGAACCGATTGGAATATTTTCAAAAAAGAAAAAAGTGTTTGTACATAAAATTATGGATATACTATAATTAAATGAATCAAATTTTTTTTTCAACTTTATAAATAATACACTAAGTTTTCTTTCTTTCACCACAATACAAAAAATGAAAATATTTTCATCCTTTACTCGAATTTGGTTGACTTAGACCAAAAGCAGATTGTTAAAAGCTACTTCTCAAAACATGACAAAATATGCTCGCGAAGACTGTTATAATTTTTTTTTTTGTTTAAATTAGATATGATTCTTTTCAATACAAGTATGAAATCTTTTTAACATCTCTTTAGTTCTTGCCGACAGCAACGAAAAATTACTCTTCCAGTTTTTGCATATATTGTCCATGCATATTTTTCATTGCAACCTTGACTTATTCTCTTTTTATAGGGGTACATCGGTGTTCTGGTCTAGATAAATGGCCTTGCTCAGCCAGCACAATTAGCTACACTGCAGGGCCATCATCACTGAGCGCATAAAGTGTGTGACTTCCTTGTACATGTGTCCTCCTACATTTTCCAAGGCCGCATGATCCTGTACACTTTAGGGGTCACATAGCCTCTGTAACAGCCCGTTACGTACCGGTAATGTTATCATTGCATATGGTATTAAGCGCAGTTACAATCACAGTCATTGAGTTAATTAAATTACGGAAAAACTTTTTCTTTTATTAAATTCTTATAGTTAAACATTAATCATTTCCGTAATCAATTAAAAATAACACCGTAATCGTAAATGCAAAACTCGTGAAAGCATAAAACTCATTTATTATAACCCCTCTAAGCAATACCATTAACTCTAGGTTATAAAAACACTATTTTCAAAAATTTACACTGTGGTAATCGATTACCCTTCTTGAGGTAATCGATTACCAAAAGTTCCAGAATGAGGCAGTAGCTCAATTTGGGCTCCCCTGTTTTGGGTAATCGATTACCTTGACATAGGTAATCGATTACTGAACGAGGTAACCGATTACCTATGCAAAGGTAATCGATTACCTTCATCACAATGGCTCAATTTTTGCGTCCCCTGTTTCAGGTAATCGATTACCAAGGAAAAGTAATCGATTACCCTACTGCAAAAATGACAGATAACAGCATTTAAAACACAAAATGGGTGATGTAACTTACTCCCAGCACCTTAATACTCATTATACCACTTACACA